TTTTTTTTTTTTTTTTTTGAGACAGAGTCTCGCTCTGTCGCCAGGCTGGAGTGCAGTGGCGCCATCTCCGCTCACTGCAAGCCCCGCCTCCCAGGTTCATGCCATTCTCCTGCCTCAGCCTCCCGAGTAGCTGGGACTACAGGCTCCCGTCACCGCACCCAGTTAATTTTTTGTATTTTTCATAGAGACAAGGTTTCACATTGTTAGCCAGGATGGTCTCGATCTCCTGACCTCAAGATCTGCCCACTTTGGCCTCCCAAAGTGCTGGGATTACGGGCGTGAGCCACCGCGCCTGGCCTTTACAGCCTCAAGTTTTAATCAAAGCTTGTCTATAAGATTACTTTATTCCTGCATCTTCTCCATTGTTTCTTCCTTGTATTTGCCCTTTTCCTTTCCTACCTGGTGAGATTTGGCTTTTCCGTTCAAGGATCTTCTTGCCGCCTTTGTCCAGTTTTAGCCTAGTGATAACCACCTAGGTCAATGCCTACGTGGACAGTTGTGCCGTTAGCCTTTTCCTGCTGCACCCGTTCAATGTAGATAACATATTTCTTCCTGTAAACCTGGACTACTTTGCCAATTTGCTGACCTTTATAGTGTCCTCGCACAACCTGAACTTCATCATCGTTTTGAGTGGGCATGGATCGCAGGTGGTACTTGTGTCTCAGCTCTTTGGAAAGAGGGGAAGACATAGAATCTTCCTGCGAACGTGGGAAGGTGCATTAAAATGCCTTTTGTGATTCTTGCTTCGTTGGGAAGTCACAAAGGGACTGAACTTCATCTTGGTCGCTCCCGCTTCAGTGATGGCCGCAAAAGTGAAGAGAACTACACACTCCTTTTTGTTTATTTATTTTCTTTTCTTTTTCTTTTTCTTTTTTTTTTTTAAGACGGAGTCTCATTCTGTCACCCAGGCTGGAGTGCAGTGGCGCGATCTCCACTCACTGCAAGCTCCACCTCCCGGGGCCACGCCATTCTCCTGCCTCAGCCTCCCGAGTAGCTGGGACTATAGGTGCCTGCCACCGTGCCCGACCAATTTTTGTATTTTTTTAGTAGAGACAGGGTTTCACCGTGTTAGCCAGGATGGTCTCGATCTCCTGACCTCGTGATCCGCCCGTCTTGGCCTCCCAAAGTGTCTCGATCTCCTGACCTCGTGATCCGCCCGTCTTGGCCTCCCAAAGTGCTGGGATTACAGGCATGAGCCACCGCGCCCGGCCTCCTTTTTATTTTTTACAGAGATTGGGTCTTGCTATATTGCCCAGGCTGGTCTCCAACTCCTGGCATCAAGTGATCCTCCCACCTGACTCTTCAAAATGCTGGAATTACAGGAGTGAGCCATTGTGCCTGGCCTCTAGGCTCCTTTTAATCCTCCTGACAACCCTGTGATGTAGGGCCTATTATTTTCCCCAATTACAGATGTGGAAACTGAGGAACAGAGAGGGGCAGTAACTTGCCTGAGGTCACACAGCAAATACGTGAGAGCTGGTTTTAGAACCCTCCCAGCTCTGAAGTTCCAAGTGGGTCCCCACAAGAGGCTTTGGTAATGCTTTACTGGGGCCCTTGGAGACCCTTGAGGGACACCCTTGAGGGACTGACTGTAGCTGACTCGGGTCTCTGGGCTAGTGTTTTGGGTAGAATTGTAGTGAAGGAGGTGAGATGTCATCTTAGTGGGCCCTCTGAGACGTTGATATTGTTGGCCTTGTTTACTTAGCAAACTCTTTTTTTTTTTTTTTGAGACTGAGTCTTGCTCTGTCACCCAGGCTGGAGTGCAGTGGTGCAATCTCGGCTCACTGCAAGCTCTCCCTGCTGGGTTCAAGCCATTCTTCTGCCTCAGCCTCCCGAGTAGCTGGGACTACAGGTGCCCGCCACCATGCCTGGCTAATTTTTTTTTTTGCATTTTTAGTAGAGACGGGGTTTCACAGTATTTGCCAGGATGGTCTCGATCTCCTGACCTCGTGATCTGCCCATCTTGGCCTCCCAAAGTGCTGGGATTACAGGCGTGAGCCACTGCGCCCGGCCTACTTAGCAAACTCTTAACCAACCTTCAAATCCCCAGCTGCGATGCCCCCTCCTCCAGGAAGCCTTTCTTTTACCCACTAGAGTTTTCTCTATGCTCTTCACCCCTAACCACAACCTGGGGCTCCTCTCCCTGCCCAGCCGTGACTGGATAAGGCTGGGAAGGGGTGTTTATGTGTAGGTTTGCCCCTTTAACCCTGGGGTGGGGCCCAGGCACAGCTGGGCTCAGGTTTTTTTTTTTTATAGTAAGGAATGTGTGGGTGCAGCCATGACCAGCCCCGCCCACCCAGGTGACTTGAAGTTTTCCTAGACTGGTCCAGTCCCTCCTAGGTCTAACCTTAAGAATCCCGGAATCCCAGGTGCCTGAGGGGGGAGGCTGGGCTGGGCTGGGTGAGAAGAAGGAAACGACCTTTACTTGCTCCCAGAGCCTGAAGAATTTCCTCGTGCCCTGCTCCCCTGCCCCTTTCTTTCTTTCTTTGTTTCTCTTTCTTTTTCTTTCTTTCCTTTTTCTTTTTCTTTTTTTTTTTTTTTTTTGAGACAGAGTCTCGCTCTGCTCTGTCACCCAGACTGGAGAGCAGTGGCGTGATCTCTGCTCACTACAAGCTCCGCCTCCTGGGTTCACGCCATTCTCCTGCCTCAGCCTCCCAAGTAGCTGGGACTACAGGCGTCCACCACCATGCCCGCCTAATTTTTTTTTTTGTATTTTTAATAGAGACCGGGTTTCACCGTGTTAGCCGGGATGGTCTCCATCTCCTGACCTTGTGATCCGCCCACCTCGGCCTCCCAAAGTGCTGGGATTACAGGCGTGAGCCACCGCGCCCGTCCTCACTTTATATTTCTATTGAACAGTGCTTGGCTAGAGTATGAGTGAACAGGGCGAATATTCGAATTAGAAGTAGAAAACAAGGCCAGGCGTGGTGGCTCATGCCTGTAATCCCAGCACTTTGAGAGGCCGAGGCGGGTGAATCACGAGGTCAGGAGTTCGAGACCAGCCCCACCCAGGGACTGAAGTTTCTAGTTAGACTGGTCCAGTTCCTCTCCTAGGTCTAACCTTAAGAATCCCGGAATCCCAGGGTGCCTGAGGGGGGAGCTGGGCTGGGCTGGTGAGAAGAAGGAAACGACCTTTACTTCTCCCAAGGCCTAAGAATTTCCTCGTGCCCTGCTCCCCTGCCCTTTCTTTCTTCTTTGTTTCTATTTCTTTTCTTCTTTCCTTTTTCTTTTCTTTTTTTTTTTTTTTTGAGACAGGGTCTCGCTCTGCTCTGTCACCCAGACTGGAGTGCAGTGACGTGATCTCAGCTCACAGTAACCTCAGCCTCCCGGGTTCAAGCTATTCTCTTTTTTTTTTTTTTTTTTTTTTTTTTTTTTGAGACGGAGTTCTCTGCTCTGTCACCGGGCTGGAGGCAGTGGCGTGGATCTCATGCTCACTGCAAGCTCCGCCTCCCGGGTTCACGCCATTCTCCTGCCTCAGCCTCCGAGTACTGGACTACAGGCGCCGCCACCTCGCCCGCTAGTTTTTTGTATTTTTTAGTGAGACGGTGCACGGTTTTCACCGGGTCTAGCCATT